GGGAAAGATATCCAGATGCCTCCCCCGGGAAGTAAAGCGGCTTTCGTGATGTTCTATCTTGACTGTAAAAGTTGCATGACAATAATTTCATTTCAGCTGTAATGTTGGAATTGCTTCGATCGTATAATTAAAGAGCATACGATTCGACACAATTACATGCACAGAATCTATCAATGGGTACGTATCGATCTTATGAAGCGAGCGAAGGAAAATACGCGTGCTAGCTGTGCATGGGCCTCATGTCCGCAGCTTTTTACGACATTTATTAAACTGATTAGACGTAAATGTTAAATAAGAGTAACCACGCCACACAGAATCATGGTGGGTTTGCTTTGATTATTATGCACCCATATTCATGTATATAAAATATCTTATATATAGAGAGAGATTGTTGAAAGCGACAGCACACACAATTAAAGTGCCGGCACGGAATTTTGTGCATTTTCACCAGAGTTGAGTTTTTGTTTTTGTTGGATTCGGTTTAGGGCAGATTTTGGAATAGGATTTGGCTTCGGTGACTCGGTTTAGTTGGGATCAATCACTAACCGCCCGATAAATCAGGATGAAACCTATGATCTCTAAATATAGTATGCTGATTAAAATAATTATATTGCATCGTGAACCGACGAGAAATACCAAAGATATGTTGTAGTGCCGGACACTGTAGGAACAAAAGGGCTGTCAACTTGTAATCTCCGGATTCTTGCAAACCTTCTCCTCCAATATTTCGGCTAGGAAAAAATAAGAAAAAGATTCGAGCTTTCAGTGACACATCATTCACCTATATATATATATATATGTATGCGTGTATATATGATTCCATTTGTTGTGCCCTGCCCACCAACTTGCCCAGATTCTTCCATTGTTTCTGATCTCACACTTGTGTTGATTCCTCTTGCAATCTCTTCCGAAGTGTGGAATGGATATCACACGTACCGCAATGAGCCACTCACCGTCTCTGTTAACTTGTGAATGAAGCTTTTCATCCGATAACACACACACACACACACACACATATATATATATATATATATATATATATGAAAATTCCTTCTGGATATAGATTCCTTTGTCACTTCATCTTTTTGGGTATGGATTTGTTTTTAAAAAAAAATCTGTCCCAAATTAAAGATCAATTTCTGATCGTAGATCAGTGGGAAAAGCCTATTCGATCGATCAAAGCTTCAACTGAACTTCTCCTCATTTTTATAGGTTGTGAAATCTTGGTACTCGGGTCTGATGGTTAAGATGACAAATTCATCAGCATTAATGGTGCCAAATAAATACAAGTCACTTGTCACGTTTGATCCAGTCGTAGAAGTTTATAAACGAACACGATGAATGACCCCCGCGTGTGATAAGAAGGTTTAGGATATACCATAAGTCAGGAAGCTCTTTTCTTCCGTGCAATGTAGGTTGATTATGCGTAATATATCTATATAAACCCGACGACAGAAACAAAGCCTTTCTAATACACCGATGTTCCCTCCCGGTTACGTACATACACACATATATATCATTCAGGATATTGATTTTGATTCCCCTCAACCGCGATTATGTATGGACTAGTTGAGTACTAAAACCATATGGCCTTGGCGTCCTTAAGCATCTGCTTGAGCGAGCCGTCGACGTGGAAGGAGATGATGTCTTTGGCCGAGCCGACGTACTTTCCCCCGACAAAAACCGCTGGGACAGTAGGGTTCGAGCCAAGAGAACGTAGCGCACGCTCCATTTCATGGCCTTCGGGGTCCCTGTCGAGCTCGTGGATCGCCGGGCTCGCTCCGAGCTCGTAGAAGAGAGAATGTGAATCGATGGACTCCACCCACTTGATGCTGTGGCACATGCAACATGAGCTTTTCGTGAAGATCCCTGCCGCTTTCTTGGAGGCCAAGTCTCTTATTCTGTCCATGTCGTAAGACGAAGAATGGAAGACAAGGAAGTTTGAGCGGTGGCTTGGTGAAGAAGAAAAGCTTCTCACTGATTAGGGTTCCTTGAATAGACGAGAGGCTTAGGTGTGGTGAAGAAATGCTTGATCAGCTCTTATATATAGTGGGTATTGTGGAAGTTTGGATTTTTCGGCCTTATTTTAATCCGATGGGTGCTTTGATAAATACAAAAACCGTAAAATATGAAGAAAAATTAGATACACATATATTATAACTTTTTCCCCCATAAATAAAAAGGTCAAGTTCTTTGAGATATTATATTTCTGGATAAGAAAAATGCTCACCCCTATAATTTGTCTGATGCTGACCCCTATTTTCTAAATTTATTACTGTATTTAACAGAAAAGACGTTGAAGGTTATAAAAAATTCGAAATAACAAAAAAATCATATATTAACAATATATTTTTAATGATTAAAAAAGATGGAGTTCTATCGCTTTCGGTCTGTGGCTGGCAGCAGCATCACATACCCAGCAGTATAGTTAATGCATATTATTCTTTTCTTTAGTGGAAAACGTAATGGAAGGTTAATTTGGTGATACATATACCATGAAAAAGGCGACATTTGATGCGTTTTGTTAATTAGTTAATTGCGTGGTTAAATATTATATGATGAAGTCAAATTACCCGCTTTCAGACATTGTCATGCATGCATCACGTACGTATTAGCGTTACGTAGAGTACTAGAGGAGATCCGACATGTGCATATGGCACTAGCTAGCCCATTATAGTAAAATCAAATCTTATTTTTCTATACATGTGCTCTTATAAATATATATATATATATATATATATATATATACACTCTTCTAGTAAAATGTATATGTAATGTACTCTTGTGATGCGTTTAATTTACAACCTGTCTTGTTCCCGAAAACATGATAATGAAAACGTTGCAGGTTACAAAAAAAAAAAAAAAAAAACGTTGCCATCTCCAAAAAGCTAAGTATGCATCATATTTTTTTCGAAAAATACTTTGTATATGCTGACGTGGAAAAATCTGTGATGAGAAGTTTATCCATGGGATGAGTTGGTCCACACCAGGTAGTTAATCCCCACGTGTCATATATATTATTGAAATAATCTGCCCTTTCCTAGAGTTATATGGCCAATTGATTGGCCCACTTGGCCGTTCGAGATTTTCACAGGCAAACACGCGATGATGTTCTCCTTTTCTATATTCTGCTAAATAGCTCCATCTACATATAGGTAAGATATATTTATCCTAACAAATTACATAAAAAAGAAGAAGAAGATATATTTATCCCTTGTCGGGGAATTAAAAAAACCACGTGGCAGAACAGAACCCGACGCAAATCACGGATTTGAAGTATTCTTTTAGGTCAAATCTAGACCGTCCACTGTGACATGTCATCATCACCGTTACGGTGCTCCCGACATCTTGCATTGCAGATTTACCTGTAAGATTAGGTGAGACCGAAATCTAACCTTTTATGCCTATGACATTTAATGATCGGTTGGTTACAATAGGAGAAGATATTATTTATGCGAAGTTTTAAATAGGAGACACATAACTATCGAAATAATAATCATAAGGGTAAAACCTTCGACTTGCAAAAATATATACAAACAAACCTTCAACTTGAAAAATTGTCATTCAATCCCCAAACTTGTAACTTGTCACTGAATAGAACCTCGAACTTGCAAATTATTACTCTAATAAACTTTTGACCGGTTTGATCACAATTTTAAACGATCGGAAATCCATGTATTGGCGGATTGCTGATATCAATTTTTAAATTAAAATTGACAACGTGTATAAGGTGACATCAGCAATCCGTTAATACGTGGATTTCCGATCGTCTGAAATTGTGGTCAAACCGGTCAAAGGTTTATTAGAGCAATAATTTACAAGTTTGATGTTTTATTCAATGACAAGTTACAAGTTCGGGTATTGAATGAAAGTTTTTCAAGTTGAAGGTTTATTGGTTTATTTGTATATATTTTTGCAAATTGGAGGTTTTTTAGGGGTTTTACCCTTAAATATGAGCTAGAAAACCACACAAATTGGAGACTTATTTGATTCGGATCTCTAAATCAATAAACATACTCTACATGATGGAATAACTAAAGAATGCACGTACTAATCAGATTAGGAAAGAACGCTCTCATGGAAGTTAAATGTTAGTCAAAGTAAACACAATAAAAATTAAAATTCAAAAACTCCATGGCATCCTACACTTCTGAACATGACAGAGGGTCTGCTTCCTAAGAGGCCCTGATGGATTTTTTGCGGGTTCTCTTAATGGGCTGTTTTCGGCCCAAAATCATATAAGTATGCAATGGGTTCTCTCTCTTCCGAGCTCTCCATCAATTGCCGCCGTCGCTCTCGCCTATCATCTTCGACCAGGTACCCTCTCTCCCTCCCTCTCTCTCTGCTTAGAAACCACAGAGTACATTTGATTTCTGTCCACTTTCTCCGCATGGATCCCTATTCGTCTGAGAACCCGCCGTCTTGGTGGTACTTTTAGGGTTTAGATTCTGAGTTTAGGGGTGGTCTATTCTCTGTTCAGTGATAGATACTGAGGTGGAGAAGAACCTGAGTTGATTTAGCTTGCTCTGCTTTGCGATTTTATGTAAAACGGAGAGTTTGGCATTGTTTATAATCGTCTACGACCACTACGATCTTCGTCATCGTATCTGTCTTGCCTGGTTTGGTGTTCTTTGATATTCTCCTTAGTGGGGTTGCTAATTACGTTCTGGGTCTTCAGAAGGGCATGACCCCCACGAGAGTCCAGATGGGTTCGTCAAGGAACTGCGAAAAGTTCACTAATTTATTTAGCCAGAAGTTTTGATTTCTCTGTAATTGCCTATTCAAATGGGATGGGTTTTTTCCTCGATTGTAACTGTTGCTTGCTCTTCTGTTTGCTTGGATATCTCTGGAGTCTGGACTTTTGAGTTTATGTACGGTATTTTGTCTGTGACGCAAAAGTTCATTATCCAAAGGGTCAACCGCAAACCGAAACTTTTGTAATTTCAGCCATTACTCTCATCCTTGAAGTTGTTGATTCTGCTGTTGTTTGTTCTGTTCCGTGCTGTTCTCTTTGACTTTAGGGATAGCGAACCACCTTCGCTTAAAACTTACTGGATTAAATCATAATCTCGTCTCATGTTTTTGTCCTCTTGATATCTCAGGTTCTGGAAATGGCTGACAGCCAAGAATCTGGGGATAATGTATCCGAAGCAACCTCAGTTGATACTTCTCAGGAGCAACAGGCAACCATTGATGAGGTGCTTTCCAGGCACAGGTGAATTATGATAGAGTTATTTGGAACTTCACTAGGTTTCTACTTTCGGTTGTCTAAATCAATTTCGACTTGAGTGGCATGAAGAAATAGACTGTCCCTCGACTGAAGGGATCTTTACTATCGTTATCGTATGGGAGATTGAATATCACGATTCACAAGCCATGCATTTAGGTTAACATATAAAACTTCATGCTTCTGCGCGTCTTTGCATGATTTTATCCTATGCATCAATGGCGTTGTCCAATGCACAGGAAAGAGATAAAACAGCTGCAGAACAAGGAAACCGAGCTGAAGAAGGCGGCTGCTAAAGGAAGCAAGGCCGAACAAAAGACCAAGAAGAAGCAGGTTGAGGAAGAGATCTCCAGACTCTCTGCAAAGCTCAAGGAAAAACATGCCCAAGAACTTACCGCCCTAGGATACAGCGGCGCTAATGAAACAGACAACAAAAAAGGAGACATTGACAGCCTGGTGCGGGCCATAGCTGGTGTCGGTGTTGCTGCTCAGCCCGAGCATTCCAGAACCAGCAAGAGCGCAAAGAGGCGAGAGAAACGTGCTCAACAGGAAGCGGCAAGAGAGCAGAGGATTCAGGAGGAGCAGAGCAAGATGACAAGCGACAACATGGTGGAGAAGGAGAGGCTTGAGAGGAAGCTCCAGCCTCTCGGGCTGACCGTCAATGAGATAAAACCCGATGGGCACTGCCTCTATCGGGCCGTGGAGGACCAGCTGGCCCATCTAACAGGCGGAGCCTCTCCTTACGACTACCAGAAGCTGAGGCAAATGGTGGCAGCGCACATGAGGGAGCACGCCACTGATTTCCTCCCGTTTTTCCTGTCAGAGGGCGAGGAAGAATCAGAGGGTTCAGTGGAAGAGCAGTTTGAGAAGTACTGCAGAGACGTCGAGTCAACGGCGGCATGGGGGGGTCAGTTGGAGCTCGGGGCATTGACTCATTGCCTGCGGAAACACATAATGGTGTATTCGGGATCATTCCCGGAAGTCGAGATGGGGAAAGGATGTTGTAGTTATAATTCTTAATCTAACTGTTTTCTCACAATTTCCCATGATTCCTCGGGCCTTCGTTCTATGTAACCCTCTTCACTCAATGCTTAGTTGTAGGCGAATCGCTTGTTGGCTCTCAGATTTTTGCAAGAGCAGCAGCTTGAACAACATAGATTCAATTTCTGCTCATCTTCTTTAGTTCTGGATGGTATTTTGTGCTACATTATTCTGTCGAAGCTACTTTTGCTCTGTTTTTAGTCCATCTGGTTTTGTTTCTTTGTTGCTTTCGGGCTTGGCGAACACTATAACTCCATCGTGGCGGACGTCATCACGGAATAGATTTCGTCATTGAGATTTCTTCAAGATTATACTATATTTATCGAATTTGTTATTGAAAAATTCTTGATATGTATGTCGAATTCCCAGAACCTGTCCGTCTTATTTTACTATTCTAAAGATCACATCCTTATATACATCTGTGTCTATTACATTCTCAAGAATATTCTTATTCCTTGGAAACGATGAACAAGAAGAAGGGCAGAAACTGCATAGTGAGTTTGTGATTGCAGAAATGGGCACTCACTCAAACTTTTACATTTTAATCGCACTCCCAAAAACCAAATTGTTTAAAGCTCAAGAAACGGAATGAAACCTTCGCTTCTGAAACATGAACCTTCTGTCCGAATCAGACGTCTTCTAAACGTGAACACGATCAGTCCCTTCGACAGCGTCCTGAACAGCCCTCGCCCGCTCCGCTTTACAAATTCCATCTTCATCGAGACATGATCCTTCACCTGATGGCCGAGTGTTGGGGGTTCATAATGGCGCACATGATTGCATTAACAAGTAACGAATGAAACAAGTTCCCTGAAAAACATTCATTTTGCATAATGCCCAATGTGATGTAGACATGTGTACATACATATATATACACACACATACGAGATACAGTCGGACTTGCTACGTGGTTTTGGAACATAACACAGTTGTCAACTCTCAGCTCACACAAATACATAATAAGATAAAGGACCTTAACATACTGAAATCACAATGTCCATAAATAAAAATGAAATGATGAGAATGATAATCTTACATAAAAAAAAGATAAATCTCCAAGGAACTTGATCGGTTCTTTCAGCAGCAATGGTCTGGATGTAGGGACGATGAGCTTATCTGTCTCTATAAACGTATACACAGGTTCCGCTTTTATCGCTATGCTGATGGTATGCACATTACATTATTTTCCTTTTCCATGTCATTTGGCCGGCCTCCTTCAGGTCTTAGTAATAGGCTTTTGCCAAACCTTTGAAGTACCACTTTGGTCATAAATTCAAGAGCAAGTATATAGATAACAATTGAAAAGACGATTTTGAGGCGTACCCTTGAGATTATGTTAAAATGAGCGCCGAATCTCACGGCCTTGCCTTGTGATTCTGCTGCCGCTGCTTAAAGGAAGAGCAGTAGTCTGGCTTGGGAGTTGCATATCCGGAAATGGAAGAGAGCCGCTCTGGGAGAAAATCAAACCAGCAGAGATGCTGGATGTGCTTCTTGAGGAAGATAGGCCGGTCAAATACGCGTCCTTCTGAGAGCCAGAGATGAGTTCAGGCCTAAGTTCCGAGGATGAAGGAGCAAGTGCACCCAGGAGAGAGCCAATGGGATAGGAGGGAGCCACTGGCGCATCCACCAGAGAGGATGCCGATGGATTGTAGCTGAGGGTTCCCATTGGATGATCAAACTTGCATGTGGATCCGAACCTACAGAAGCCGTTTTGCAGGTAAAACGTGCATGGCTGCACACCCTAGTTTTGTCACAAGAAGAAACAACACATATAACATGAAGTCAAAATAGAGCATGATTCCCCCGGCATATAATTTTACACAGGGTAAATGGATAGTATAGCATACCGGGCGCAACGGGAGACCAATTGGGCTGAGAATGCAATTTGCTCTTGGCGGAACCCTGTCTCGAGGATGATGGAACTTACAAGATAATCCAAATTTACAATCCCCTGTTCTCAAATAGTACTGACATTCAGGTTCTCCGGGTCTTTCAGGAAAGATTTGTTCTTTCTGATTGCCAGCAGCAGACGGAGCTGTTGAAGAGGACAAAGACTGATAAACCCCAGCAACCGAAGGCGTGGAAGAAGAGAGCTGTGTGACTCCATACAAAGATGTTGCTCCAACCGCATGTTGTGCACCAGGAGATAAAACAGGACTCATCGGAGCCTACATCACGTGTGACAAATGCAAACGTAAGAGAGATAAAGGTAAATAGATATGCTGATTGATGCAACAGTATAATATTACAGTTTACCGAGTAAGGACTCCAGCCAGGAATTGGGACAACGCCTGGGGTTAAGAGCATGGGACCATAAGCCCCTTGCATATACGAACCGGGTAAAAGAGGAGGTCTAGCTACTCTCAAACTAGAGGACGGGCCTCCATACTGGTCAGGTATAGGAGAATGCACCGACGGATAAAACTGCGGTGCAGATGCTGGAGCTGTCGTGCCAGCAGGTTGAGGATGGTGGAATTTACAGGTCACACCAAATTTGCACTGCCCCGTTTTCAAATAGTGGGAGCATTCTTTCTCACCCTACAAGAGTTGCACATAGACAAAGTGGGAAGCTTGTGGGTATATAAGAAGTGCATCGGAAAAGAGAACAGAAAGAAACTATAAGGGAAAGGTATCCTTACCTCTCGTAGTGGATATCCATGTATATTTAGAGGAACTTGGCTCATGGATCCACCTGCATTTTTTGGATGGTGGAATTTGCATGATGCCCCAAATTTACAGGTTCCAGTTTTCAAATAGAACTGCAAATATGATCCAATTAATGATCAATAACAATCATAATTTTCCTAATCCTTTGACAACCATTTCACATCCAATATGAATACAATTTCTTCGCAATATTACCTGACATGGGGGTTCACCTACTCGTTCTGGGTAATCTCCTGTAGCTCTAACTGCTGCCTCAACCTACATGGAGGTAAAAGAAAACAAACTCTGAACTCAAGAAGTCGTAAAAATAGCTGAAAGTTGCTAAATAGTAACACAGCGAGAGGTTTTACGAAAACTAAATAAATCAATCTCATCCTAATCAATCTTGCCCTATCAATGAAGCTTATTCCAGCTACATGATGAACAAAAAAAAAGGAAAAAGATAGGGCATGCGCTAAACCAGAGTAATTGCTTATGTTATTTTCCCCCCCTTAAGTCCGCCATTGGCAATAGGATGAGCAATCCAAGACAGAGAAAAGATAATGTATTCAAGCTTATATTCTCTAGCATCTGAGACTTTAGAACCCAGTAAGCACCCACATTAACAAGCATTGCGTTTGCTTCCTATGATAATTTCGTGACATAAACAGCACACCAAATCGACAAGAACATCAACAATTAGCCGATGATCAAGTGAAATTACCATAGCACGGTCGCGGGGATGATTGTAACGGCACCTACTACCATATCCACAGATGCCGGTTCGCATGTAGTACGCACAATCAGGCACTCCAGGTCGCTCTGGGTACGTCTCGCTATTGCTCAACCCTAATCGCCACATCGATTCTGTACACAAACAGCACAAACCCAGGGGGGAAAATCACAAAATAACCTAATTCCCAAACGCATTTCAGAAACCCTAAGAGGAAAATGACCCAGCACTTGCTGGAAAACCACGCGCATGCGAATCAGAGACCGAGCTCGAAACACGAGAACAAAAAAAAACTGACCTTCGAGGCCCGTCTCGTTACCTCCGGAGCTCCATTCGGGTGCTTGACCAGATTGAGACCCATTCGTCGCCTGATTGCGTCCGTACATATCCATTGAAAACCTCTCTAGGGATTCTTCTACAATGACTTCACCTACTGTGCTGAAAATAATAATGACAAAATGTCAGAGGCCGTGGAACGCCGGAGGATCGACGAAGGCTTCAGAAACCTTGCCGGAATGATCTAGAAACACCAGAGAATCCGATCGAAGGCGAGATTTCAACGAAGATGCTTCGACAGTGATTGAGCCCTCTGGTCACGCCCCTCTCTCTCTTCTCGCCCTTCAGATACCGTACAGTCTGGTTGGTTGTGTAGTTTCTCCCTTTTTTTTAAGCTTTTATTTCATTTTTGGTTTTTTCACCTTCATTGTTTTCTTATTTGCTCGTGCGATATAGTATTTTTTAATAATATAATATTATTCGCATTTTGTTTCTTTTGCTTTTGTCTCGGCCAAATAAAAGCACCACCAAAAAGGGCGATTTTCCACGGAAATACATTAAAACTCGTATACAGTTTAATTGCTACTTTCCTCCCCTTTTCTAAAATTACCCAAAAAGCCCTTCGACGGAGATAGGGCGTGTGTGGCCAAACCGTCAAAAAGAGGCAGTCCAGCTTTAAAAGTGGCAAGTGGTGTGGTCCGAGAACGGGGACAAATCCGTCATTCTCTCTGTAAAGTCGGAAGTCTACGTTACAGAATCCAAGTCGAGGAGTCGACACCTTCCCCACATTCAATGATCACAAAAAAAATAATAATAATAAAAGCTATATACGGCTTCCAGTGTCGGCGTCAAACTGCCAGCTTTCATCATCACCTAACTCACACTCTCAGTTCAATCTAACGGTAAAAAACAGAAGAGTAATCTCAGTGGCTCTGGACACGTTTTGGTCTGTTGCTCTTCTTCCTTAACTTGAGATCAGCAGACTGGGATTTCCCCGGAAAGAAATCGATCAGTTCTGGAAACTCTTTGAGGTGCTTCAGCACGTAGGCTTTCAAGAATGCACCAGAAGAAGGCGACAGGACAGTTGCCATTGAAGGGGTTTCCTTTATCAGTCCTTTGGTCACGAGAGCTCTGATCACTTGGCACCTGGGTAAAGTCCTCTTTTCCAGGCTGTATCCCAGCACTGTAGGGGCCGCGCACACTGCCTCTAATGGCCACCCCATCTTCTTCACCACAAATTCTGTCTTCTCCTTCAACTTGTCTGGGGATGACCCAATGCACTGGGGATGTCGCTTGATGATTAGGGCAGCCTCGTCTCTGGTGAACCCTAGGCTTAAGAGGGTTTCCACAGTATCTTCTGCTCTGAATACCTTATACACTCTGGATACTTCTTGAACACTGCCTTGACCTCGTCTTCTACCAACCCGCATCTCTTCAACGCTTCAAAAACACCAGTTATCTTGTTCTCTGAGTATTTGAGACAGAAAGGCAGCTTCTTGAAAACTGCCCAGATCTCACTCTCTGACAATCCCTGCCTTTTGAAGATCTCCACTTTCTGCTGTATTGTTCTGTCACTCATTTCGTAAACAACTACCAGCGCTGAGGTGAACTTTGAGGTGGCTGGGTCAAACCCCATTCCGACGATCTTCTTGACGGATTCCTCAAATCTTTCTTTCCCAGAGACTGGTCCAGGGAAGGTGATGAGCATTCTCGATAAGGAATGCC